CCGTTTCTTTTAAATTTTTTTGGCGTGTCCAGAGCAGTTGTCATCTCTGCACTTAGAAAGCAATGTAATTAAATACTATAAGATAAAAAATGAAAATATGCGATAAATATTTATGATATATTCTAGTATTTTATTTTTCAATACTCGAACTAAGCAACAGAAACCTTCAAAATCTGACATCTATTGACATTCTGCGTTTGTTCTTTCTATTATTGCTTATCGGCAACAATTGTTGATTGCTTGTTTCATTTGAGATAACGATATCGGATAAGGGATCAAAGTATTGTCGGTACATTCCCATTTATTGATGAGATGTTTGCATGTTTACTCAAAATGTTGTCTAAATTACGATCGCGTCAAATTGAGGCATATCCGTAGAGATATACCACAAGGAGAATTTCAATATTTCAACGCTTTTGAAGAAAATGGACTTCAATATAGATTTACCTCGATCAATGGATAAAAGTCATTACAAGAGATAAAAAAAAATTCAAACGGGTTTTGTAATTTTCTTTATAAAATTCGAAATGCGTCAAAATGACGCGTCCCGTAAACTTAGTGTTAAAAAAGTCGAACATTAAAACTATATTCACATTATTGAACATAAACTGGAGAAAAATGAGAGAAGTTATCATTTATGAAACTTAAAATAATGATTAAATAAATTCCTATTGTATTTCGCACTTTAGTGCACGAATTTCAATACTGAGTTCATGTAAAAAATTCTCCCATTATAAAGGTAATTAATTATTTTCTTATAAACTAATTGAATATTAGGTTCCACTTTAAATTAAAAAAAGAATAATGTATTCAATTATTTGCTAAGTCTAGATAAATGTTAACAATAAAATCAATGTTAACTTAGTTACCTAATGTAATGTAGCCACTTAGTTACTTTTTTAGCTAATGTACTTCCTGTCCTGAAAGGACGACTTGGCAACAACGAGCCAAAAGAAATCTGGAAAAAAACTGGCAACCTCAATGGAGCTCTATTTTTTCGATGCAATTGGGTATAATATAGCCTACGTCACAGGTTGTGTTGTTCCTACTAAATTTAACCCANTTTGTTCTTTCTATTATTGCTTATCGGCAACAATTGTTGATTGCTTGTTTCATTTGAGATAACGATATCGGATAAGGGATCAAAGTATTGTCGGTACATTCCCATTTATTGATGAGATGTTTGCATGTTTACTCAAAATGTTGTCTAAATTACGATCGCGTCAAATTGAGGCATATCCGTAGAGATATACCACAAGGAGAATTTCAATATTTCAACGCTTTTGAAGAAAATGGACTTCAATATAGATTTACCTCGATCAATGGATAAAAGTCATTACAAGAGATAAAAAAAAATTCAAACGGGTTTTGTAATTTTCTTTATAAAATTCGAAATGCGTCAAAATGACGCGTCCCGTAAACTTAGTGTTAAAAAAGTCGAACATTAAAACTATATTCACATTATTGAACATAAACTGGAGAAAAATGAGAGAACTTATCATTTATTATCATTACATTAAATGAGATCATTAAATGAGAGAACTATTCATTTATGAGAGAACTTATCATCACATTAGTGCACGAATTTCAATACTGAGGTCAGGTAAAAAAATTTCCCATTATAGAGGTAATTAATTATTTTCATATAAACTAATTGAATATTAGGTTCCACTTTAAATTAAAAAAAGAATAATGTATTCAATTATTTGCTAATCCTAGATAAATGTTAACAATAAAATCAATGTTAACTTAGTTACTTTTTTAGCTAATGTACTTCCTGTCCTGAAAGGACGACTTGGCAACAACGAGCCAAAAGAAATCTGGAAAAAAACTGGCAACCTCAATGAAGCTCTATTTTTTTCATTGCAATTGCAATCATAAAGCTATAAATGAAAGGAATGATAATAAATCGTGTATATTAAGTATCTATTATATTTTATTAGCTACCACTTATTCCATAAAATTTAATGAGAATATAATTTAAGTTCAATCTTTGATAGTAACTATCTATCTCTGGTAGCTCTTAGATTGCCGCTCTTCATAATATGAGGTAAAAGCTAACTACGAAATAATAATGGTATTAGTTTTAATGTTTACTACTAATTTAACACAGCGGGTGACAGCTTTTCACCACTACCATACCCTAAATAATCGAACATCCTTCGGCGGGACCCCAAGTTAATAAATAAAATTAGTAATTGTGAATATAGGAATCAAAAATTAAATAAATAAATATAATCCACAAATTATTTTGATCATATTAATGTACAGGGTGCCAAAAAAAAAAAACTGACTACTACGAATAGCTCTTAATCTAATGATTGGATCTTCACATTCTACCACTTAACCTTCATGGTTCGAGAGGGTGACCTAAAATATACTAATTAATAACTGAAAACTATTTTCCGAGTTACAAAATCAAACACAAAAATGTACTTTCTCTGAATTAAACATTGAAAAAAAATCGAATATTTAAAATTCGATTTCTCAATTATTCGACCGATTTAGCTTAAATTTTGTACTTTGATATTTAAAGTTGCGTTCTTTAAAATTATGTAAAAATTTGTTTACCTTATAATTTTTAAAAAATTCGGCTGTAATTAAATAAAATGATAAAATATCGATTAAAAGTAGTATTTTAAAAGAAATTATGATTGGATAAACAAATTTTATAATTGTGTGTAAAACTTAGTTCAATTAAAAAGTTCTCGAAATGTGGTGAAATACGCAAAAAAGTCAATTTAAGGGATCTATCTATCTATCTATATATATATATATATCTTATACAGTAGTGGACATTTAAAAACGAAAGCTTTCCGAATTTTTGGTATATTTCTCAACAGTTTAAAAGCTTCACCATGATAGAGTTGGAACAAAGTGGCGTTGCATATCAACTTTTAAATCATTTATGTGTAGTGGTGTGAAAATAAGTTTTAATGAATAAAAAATAATGCTTAAATATAAATGCATAATAATAAAACATAAATATAGCTACCACTAGAATAACTTTTTACAAAAACCGTTGAAATTTGGCAGCTCTGTGTAATATAATATATATACGTATAATATGTATGCAAGTATATATCAACTAACAAACCAAACACGCACTCGCTTCTGTACTTCAGTAAGAACGCATCATTAGTTGATTCCCTTCCTCCTCAATTTGCACTTCCATTTTCATATTTTGTAATCTGGCAATCATATTTGTAATCTTGTGACCATAACATTTAAAGACTTTTTGAAAAAGGGTCTCTAAGTGTAAGTAAATTTGAATTAGATACTCGCTTTATATATCACTTTTTTAGTTTCATTCTGTATTTTCTTGAATTTTTATTTTCTACTTCTGCTTGATTGTTTAATTTGACATTTTTTATTTTAATTTTACGTATTTTGCTTTCTATTTTCGTTTCAAATTTTTTTGGTGCCCCTCTCACTATTGTATTGATATATTTTTCTTTGGCAGTATTAATACAATATTAGAAAGCACTATTTTTTCCGGATATTATCGCGTGAGCGTATGACGAAATTATTATATCATTTCCTTACTTTATTTTCTAATTTTTTTCTGAGTTTTGAAATTTTACTTTAAATTTATGAATATTTTTTAAGACATTTTTTAATATTTTTCTCTTCTCTTTTAAAAATTCTTTATTACTTTTTCCTTGTTTTTTCTATATTTGTTACTTATTTTATGAGTTCTATGTGCTTGCAGCTTATGAGCAGTAAATAAAACTTATTACTATTTTTTTCTTAATTTTCTAATTTTCTTCGTTAATCTCTTTTTTCTTTTATATATATATATATATATATGGATGGATATCACCACAAAACATTAAGTCTGCTAATTAATATTTCAACATATGTCTCAGCATTTTACAGAATGACTAATGAAATGCTTGTTGGCATTCTATACAATTACTAGGCAAAATTTACAATAATTTTCCTATTTTGCCTAAGTATGCTTGACAATCCATGCAGACACTAGACATTCCATTGAATGCTGACGTTTATGCATTGTCAGTAACATAAGTAAAAAGCTTTATGTAATTTCAGACAAAAAAAAATAACAATGAATTTTTATTGTGTCACTCTCTTTAATTATGAATTCTCGAATAAAAATTTTGTAATTACGTGAAACAATGCGTGATTTGTTACTTTACAATTCTGTAAAATTCTTAATAATTTAACGTTTTATGATCTTTGTTCATATTTAATAATAAATAAATTTCTTAGAATTCCATTATGAAGCTGAAGTTTTTTTGATCTAATTTTTTTAGCTAGATGAAGAGTGTTCTTCAGTTCAAACATAACATAATACATTATTCATGCGTTTTTCTTGAATATCTACAACCCGCCACATTCAATTATCAAACGATTTTAAGGAATTATCGATTTTAATAAATTAAGAAATTACAATAAAAAAAATTATAATTTAATGCGAAGTAAAATTTATACGACAAAAATGAAATCCCCTATTGGAAATAATTGCTCAAATGCACTTGAACTTCTACAGATATTCAAAATAGTAAAGTATTTAAAAATTCTATGCAATAAAAAAACTACGATGCATTGAATGATTAACATTTTGCCAACATAGAAAAAAAAGATTTTCGATGAAGCATGCCGCTGTTGCAATTTATATTTTGAATTGGTTGTATTTATTCTAAATCAAAAATAAAAAGAGAGTGGCCTACATTTAGGTTGTTTCTATGTCCCTATCCAACCATAAATCTCTCTTCCTTCCTACGTCGAATTTTCTCTACAAACCTCATTCTGCAATATTTAATCATACTTTCAAAATACACCCCTGTTTTCAAAAAGCTGAAAAGTTTGACAAATGGACCACCCACACTGACGTCAGAAATGGACAGAAGACGTGGGGAGGGGAGGACGGTTGATGTACCGCGAACAACAATCTCATCAAGCTTGCCAAAACGAACGATTTTTGGACACTATCACGATGCTCTGATTTTTCTGACTCCGCACTGTGGCGCCACCCTCGCTCTAAAATCTCCATCCTCCCTCGAATCGATCCCTCTCCTCTCCCTGAGAGGGGTGGTCTGGTGAAGGAGTAAACGATATTCTCCATCTTTTAGAGCATCTATGGCTCTCCTTCTATTACTGATCTTTGAAATCTTGCTTCTGTGGCCAAGATATGCTAAAAGCGATTCAAATGCTGACTCTAAACGATTGTACGATGACCTTATTAACGGTTATAACTCATTGATTCGTCCCGTGGGTAATAATTCTGACCGACTGACCGTCAAGATGGGTCTGAAACTGTCTCAGCTTATTGATGTGGTGAGTTTCGAACTTTCTTCTTTACTCTTGGTTATTTTTGTTTATCCCCTTTACACTGTAGCTTGATTTTACACGTGGCAAACTTAAAGCGGGGGATGGCAATTGAATATACTAAACACATTGTAGACGAACAAATCAAACATAAAGTATTCCTTCACAGAAATAATTGTATTAGTAGTTATGTTATATATCTTAGTAATTTTAGTAAACAATTATTGTGAATTTAACTCATTTGGTAAACAATTATTGTGTATTTGACACAGAAAATAAATAGGTTATATAAAGAAAATGGCACCAGTCAAATGACACTACTCCATGTTTTAGGCGAAAATATCAAACCTCAAATATTCCTACACACAAATAATTTTATTGGTAATTATGTTATATGCCTTAGGAAGTTTGGTAAACAATTATTGTAAATCAAATCGATTTGCAAATTTTAACATTGTTGAATAGGTTATATGAAAAAAATGACAACATTTAAATGACAGTGCTCCACAATTTTTTAAATAAAAAATAATGCCATTTCTATATTTTTTACTCTGACATCTGTATGATTATTACAACAGCATTGAAAGGGATTTTTAGATCTGATAAAAGTGGGAAAGTAGGAGATATTTGTGAAAATTTATTTCAATCTGCAGTTACCTAAAAATCTATCGTATTAATATATTTTAAAATATTTATTCAAATTGTTATATCTTATAAAATTAGTTGATGCAGATCCTTTTATGTATTTGTACCAATCTTAAAAACACATCTTATATTTTTCTTTGTTACTGGGTGCAAGGGGCCAGTTCCTTTTGAAGCCTTAGACTTTCCTTAGACTTCCTTAGACTTTGCCGAAAATAAATTGTGATAACTGAAATTAAAATTGTATAAGAAAAAAGTAATTTAACCCCAGTTAAAAAGGTTGTTGAGTTTATGCGGAAAAGATTAAGAGTCATTATTTTTAACTTCAGACAATGCATGACAGTTGTATTTTTTCATTGGCTTGATTTTTTCTAATATTGAAGTAGGTTATAAAAAATGAATATTGTAAAAGTTCGAGCTCCTAAAAATCCTCCCACCTGTAAAAAATTTCAACAGTTCAAGGTCATTTCTTTAAACGTGAAGTATAAGTATGCTTTAAGAGGTTTATCAAAAGAACATAAAAAAGCTCCACAAAATTTTGCTTTGCTACGTTTTTAGTATATCGTTGCCTAGGTATGGACATGCTCCGACCGGCCTGTGTAGGGGCCAGGGAGCTGGCCTTGCATCAGAAAGGTTCTTGGCTCTAATCTGGATGTTCTCATTTGTACTATTTGTCCTTACTGTGGGAGGAACGTTGGCCCACCTTATAAGGTGAAAGAGTGGCCTACAAATCTACCCTTCAGATTCCTGAATGACGAAAGGTCAATCTCCAGTTGGGCATTGGAAAAAAAAGTTATGGACATGCCCTCGTTCCCATGTAGCATTGTTGCTTTTCGAAGTTATGCTTGGTCAAAGTTAGTGATAAATTCGGTTTTTGGCGTTTTTCTGCGATGGAAATCTTGGTTAACCCTTTCGCACCGGACGGGACATGTGCTGTCCCATCATTATCATCATCATCAACATTTATCTGGGCGCCTGGGGCCGTTAGCGGCTTTTTCCCATTCGTCTTGAATTTTGATCTTTGGGGTGGTTCTTTCTGGTAATTGGATTGCAATTGAAGTAAAAGGAAATTAAATATGTGCTGTCCCAGTCCATGGGTGAAAGCCCTTATATAGCAAGACGGAAAAGAGAAGAACCTGGTACGTAAAACATTTCATTCCAGCATTTTTTTCGAAAAAAAATGAAATATCTGTAACTATCAAGATTTCTTTTATAATTCTGGCATATATATAAAACTACTTCTTTTCCAAGATAAAGTAGATATTGTTGAAAAATTTAAAAAAAGAATAAGTAAACTTCTCCCCAAAACTAGCTATAACTGAAATGGTTTTACTACCAGCCTTTCCTCTTTTCCGTCTCGCTTTCACCCCTGCTGATTTTTCGTCGTTTTGAAAGGGTTAAAGAGCAACACCCCAATAATTTTTTACTGAAAATTAAAGTTTATTATTAGACAAACTCTGTGACTTTCCACTACCTTGGTACAGTATTACCGCCTACACCAGAAAGCCTCCACACGGTTTTTTATAAGTAATGTGCCCATGAACTTAAACTCAATTTTCAAAGTACTTGAGAGAAAGGCAAAATTTACAATAATTTNAAAAGAAGCAGTTTTATATATATGCCAGAATTATAAAATAAATCTTGATAGTTACAGATATTTCATTTTTTTCGAAAAAAAATGCTGGAATGAAATGTTTTACGTACCAGGTTTTTCTCTTTTCCGTCTTGCTATATAAGGGCTTTCACCCATGAAGAAACTGGCCCTAAAAACTAACGGCCCCAGGCGCCCAGATAAATGTTGATGATGATGATGAAACTGGCCTTGCATCAGAAAGGTTCTTGGCTCTAATCTGAATGTTCTCATTTGTACTATTTGTCCTTACTGTGGGAGGAACGTTGGCCCACCTAATATGGTGAAAAAGTGGCCTACAAATCTACCCTTCAGATTCCTGAATGACGAAAGGTTAATCTCCAGTTGGGCATTGGAAAAAAAAGTTATGGACATGCCCTCGTTCCCATGGAGCATTGTTGCTTTTCGAAGTTATACTCGGGCAAAGTTTGTGATAAATTCGGTTTTTGGCGTTTTTCTTCAATGGAAATCTTGGTTAAAGAGCAACACTCCAATAATTTTTTACTGAAAATTAAAGTTTAATGTTGGACAAACTCTGTGACTTTCCACTTCCCAGGTACAGTATTACCTCCTACGTCAGAAAGCCTCCACACGGTTTTTTATAAGCAATGTGCCCATGAACTTAAATTCAATTTTCAAAGTACTTGAGGTAAATTCATGATATGTATTTGAGAAATGAATCTGTAGTGGTTGACAAGTAAATAAGACAAACCAATCATATTCATAAATTAAACAAATTTTCAGACATATATTTGCTACCTCTTTCTTATTTTTACTAGATTTTCTATTAAAAGAATCTTTCGTAAACTGGTTTACCTTCATAATGGTCAGATCGCACTACTTATAAGAAACCGTATGGAGGCTTTCAGTTATAGGAGGCGTTGGATAGAGCTACTATCTTTATTTCAGCTTATTTTGAAGGGGAAGATTTATTGTTACTGTCTCAAAAAGTTGGTTGTTTTTGATTTTTAACATTTAAATGAAACTTTGGTCATCATTTATTTATTTATTTTTTGAAAATAGGGCAAGTTCCCATTCATTTTCCTTTCCCACGTGTCAGTAGATACCTTTACCTACAAGGTGGTTTAGTTAGTGAAAAAAGCTTGTTACGAAACAAATTAAAACAAATAATTTTTTTTAACTATTAATAAAATTGACCGTGAGAATCTGCTACTTAATTAAATTTTAATAGATGTGTTTAAATATCAATTGTTCAGAAAAAACAACAGCATTGATTCCAAATTGTAAACTAAGTTAAAGATCAAATAATTATTTGCATTTTTTAAACAATACACTCAAATCAAATATTAAATATCTTTTCCATTTGAATGGTATTTTAAAACAAAACTACTATTTTCTTACAGTTATAGTTTAAAATTATTTAAATATTTCTTTAAAATTAGAACATAGCTCAAATCACAGTGCCCTGTCGCGAAGCTGAATTAATTCGTCGGATTTTTGAGACATATAATGGGGAAATGCGTGAAATGGGAGTAGAATTGAGGGATGAGAGGTTGCCAAGCTCCTTATATTAAAGTCCTGAATTGTAAACCAGTCGGTTGAACATATGATGAAATCGATAGGAAATTAAACATAATTGAGATTAAACTAGATGAGGAAACTAAGCATAATTGAGATTAAACTAGATGAGGAAACTAAGCATAATTGAGATTAAACTAGATGAGGAAACTAAGCATAATTGAGATTAAACTAGATGAGGAAACTAAGCATAATTGAGATTAAACTAGATGAGGAAACTAAGCATAATTGAGATTAAACTAGATGAGGAAACTAAGCATAATTGAGATTAAACTAGATGAGGAAACTAAACATTATTATACTAGATTAGAATATAATAATATTTACAGGGGTCAGAATAATATTAACATTTAAGCTGGAATAATAGAACATAATAATAGAACATAATAGAAAAAATGTATGCAACTATTTACATATTTCCCCGAGATTGAAAAAAAATTGCCAACGACAAAGAAAAGGTTACATAAGCGATAGATAGTCCTTCGTTGTCTGCGACTGTGTAATAGTGACGATCCAGGCGTCCTGGTAATACCACTCGTTTATAGGTTGCTCATCACACTAAAGTTGCCAATTTATCGTCTCCGCGGCTGCGACCCATTTGGGTTGCTCATATATCGTGGTGCCGATGAATTGTCGTGTTTTAAACTGTGAGTGTTTATTTGAGATTAAATTAAATATTTCTATGTAAATTGAATTAATCATTCAACTAATAATGAAATTGAGCATGGTATTTAGCTTATTTATATTTTTACAATTAAAATATGAAAAGAAATTATATTTGTTTCGTTACATGTTCGCGAAAGTTTTTGAAATGCCATACCGTGGTCTTTGAAAAGTTTTTGTAATGGTAGTAAATTTAGGTTAATGCTAGAAGATATTCCTTATTTTATTATACCACTTTATAGTTAAGTGATTATGAAGATGAAATTTTCATTCATATGTACTTTCTTTGGAAAATATATTTTAGTTGTAGTTACCCAAAAATTTAAATATCGACATTTGCTTTATTTTCGTTACCTTTTTTTAAAATATCCAAGACCTGCAGGAAACTTGGGCAAATGTTTTTTTTTTTTTAAGTCTCTATGCTGTTAGAAAAATTAAGTAAATATACAAAAAACTTTCAAATATCTCTTATCAAATATACAATGTGATGTTTCTATTTTTTATATAAGTGAAAATATTGTGCTTTAATATAAAA